CCGCCGGGATGGCATTGCTCCTTCGCGCGCTCATAGACTCGTACAGTCATTTCGAGTTTAATAGAATTATGGAGTAAAAAATACCATGCAGATATTGTATAGTAACCCTTTTATACTAATACAATGGTTTGTGCCCCAGAAAATTACTTTTAAAGCTAAGAAAAACTGATAAATACATAAATAGTGTAAGTTAACGAAAAGGGAGAAAGCGTTATCTACAAAAACCAGTCGATATTATTGCAAAGATCATTTTAATGCGAGTACCTACCTAAAGAAGTCAAAGAGATAATAATACTCTAGAATAGAGTTATCGTCATCATCATCGTCATCTCAGCCACAGGACGTCCACTGCTGAACATAGCCTCCTTCAATAACTTCCACATAATATCGCACAGTTGGTAGAGGCCTGCATCCAGCGCCTCCCTGCTATCTTTATCAGGTCGTCGGTCCACCTTGTGGGTGGACGTCCCACGCTGTGTTTTCCGGTACGTGGTCTCCACTCCAGAACCTTTCTGCCTGGGGCAGAGCTGCGGCAGGTTATACAGAAAACTATGGAAGGAGTATAACTTGCCACTATGCTTGACGTTCGTGGAATATGAGAAGAAGGCCTTCTATTCGATCGAAGTCATGGCAGAGTTGCTGGAAGACCTCGGCACAATGCTCAAAGTCCTTAATCGAATATATCGGAACAGGTAGGCATTCGGATGAATACGAACAAAATGAAGCTTATGTCGAACTGCGCCCTACTCAGTTTCGTTTCGGAGCTTGATTCTCGAGATTGTTGACATATTAAGACATAACGTTGCTAAATTATTGATGGGTATTATTTTTTATCGATAACCCACAGCAATCTGACTGACAGCACTAATACTTTTACTTTTAAACTAGATCGATCTTTTATAATCTACCTCAAATACTACAAAAAGCGTAAATACTAAATACTTAATTATTTATTGCATCCATAATAATAGGTTCACTTACCTTGCAAGTTTTAGCACTTGGATTTCTGCAATAATATAGGTACTTTGCATGTTTTCTGAAAGTACCCGCAACCATAAGTAAATCTAATTTCGGAAGATTATTTGATTGGCATCAGATATGGTTAATAAAAATAAAAAATGTATCGAAATGAACGAAAATAAGTTTACAGAGCGCAGCTAGCACCCGCGCCGCCCGTCCGTCGTTGCCCAACGAGCGGTGTGACGTCACCGCCCGTATTCCAGGGGTGCTATCAGTTTTCGCGCGTTCCCATATTGATTTGCTTATAAAATATTCAATTTTCGTGATATCAACAAAATTTTTTCACAGTTAGTCTTATTTTAGCTTAAAGTTTTTGTTAGGGCTGAAAAAGGGGAATAAATTTTGATTTACATCTTCCTCATTACTGTAATTTACGCAAGTTGGACACAAAATGGAGTCCGAGATGGTCTGTACAAGGGCAGACGGAGCTTTGTAACGTGCTATAACGTAGGCGGCAAACAAATACTCAATTAAAGACAATGCAATGTGAGTCAGATTTTATATTCTTGAAACAGCGATTCGAAATTAAGAGGAAGGCGTTGCAATTGAACCAAAAAATCCTGCTCATGCTAGTGAAAAACTTGGAAAACTCTGAAAACCCTTACATTGTAGAAGCCATTTAGATTTGTGAAGGATAATAAAAAAGTAAAACCTACTAGAAATTGAACTATGTATGATATTTAAGATCTAACCCACTATCATCTATTTTCCCCCTTCTTTTAATATGCAAAATTAAGCATTTTGGAATAGCATAAGCAAAGATTTTAAGACACAAACATGTTGGTTCATGCAACATGGCCGTCAAAACATGACCTAATCGAAACTAAAGGGTCAAGGTTCCTGGACCCTTCTCCATTCATCCCCACATCCCATCCCTTTGGCTAGGGTGTCCAAATTTCGGATGACTCTACGTCAAATCAAGCGATTTTACAACTAAAACGTAAGCTCAAATGTATGTTTGATAACTACTTGAATTTAACTCGTCGACTGTTTTCAATACCGAAGATAGAGCTGAGTCAAGTTCTTGTAATTTACAGTTATTATTAGTTCCTACACAACTGACCCGATGCACAAAATATTACTATTTTGTGGTCAATGTTACTTCAAATTCAATGTAATAAAAACAAGCGCACTAATAGAAAATCAAACGAACTTACCTAAGTGACGTTCGATGATTATTAAACGATGTGATTCGCCCGAAGAAATTACATTATATTTACTTGTAGTAGCACGAGTTGGTGCTGCCATCTACACACGTTCAAAGTAAACTAAAACAAAAAACTGCCTGCGAACCCCGCTCCTGCGCTGGCCTTCATACACGTTGAGACCTGTCGGCCCATCCACATCTATTTTGTGCTTCCTGGGCAAGACACGATTGTGTCAGGGATAGGGAGGGATGTAATTTCTTCGGGCGAATCACATCGTTTAATAATCATCGAACGTCACTTAGGTAAGTTCGTTTGATTTTCTATTAAACTCTGTGATTCGCCCTTCGAAATTACATTATATTTACTTGTAGATGTTTAAAGTGCACAAAATAGCATCCAAATGGAAATGGAATGGTTATATTACCATCCATTTTCTTGTCAATCTGATGTTTTTTCAAATTATAAAAATTTCAGCAAAAAATAACAATAAATTACACTCTTAGGTATGATTACAATGAATTATAATGATCTAGACCAGGACTTATAAATCAATGTTATGTATCAATCCACATTAATTAAATAATTAAAATGATATTGTTGAGGCTATACCACAAAGAGAACGCGCAAATGCCAAATACTTCTGTACCGTTTGATATTTCTCTANGTCAATCTACATTAATTATAAATCATTAAATTTATGATATTGTTGAGGCTATACCACAAAGAGAACGCGCAAATACTTCTGTACCATCGTTCGATATTTCTCTATTATAAAATCTAGCGAATGCACTGGAACCAGATGTCCAGCCCGCAGTTTTCTTAATTAAATCTATATTTACACCAAGTCTTTTGGCAGCTGAAGTTGACGCATGTCTTGTGCTATGAGCACTGAACTGATTTATATCAACTCCGCTCTCTCCCAGAGTAGTCTTAATCCAGCGGCTTAAAGATTGGGAACTTATGCTTTTGTAAGGTTTTTTCAAACTAATAAATAAAAATTCACAACTCAACGGTCTTTTATCAGCTGTCACAGACAAATAACAATCTAAAACTCTAGCTGGACATATAGAAGGTCTTTCATTATAATAAGGAATGGTGAGTGTTGGTTGAAGCCTATTAATTCCAGAGGTTTTGATTTGATCTGGGATGTTAATTACAAATTTGATAGATTCAAATTTTCTAATATTACAAAGCCTAATCAACGATAGCGTTTGGACACGGTGAGCAGTTATTAAAGCTAGTAATGTGCATAATTTTTTAGTTAAGCATTCAAAAGACAAATTTTCATTTGGATAAAGACTGCCTAAATGGTCCAATACTGGAGCCGGATCCCATGTGAAATCATACTTAGGAAGAGATGGCCTCAGCCTTGATGTACCTTTCATAAATCTTTTTATTTGATTACAATTCATTATTTCCGAGCCTAGAATAAGGGACAACGCGGCTTTAGTAGAATTTAATGTTCCGTATTTGCTACCTTTATCGAACAAAACAACAAAAAATTGCAAAACAAAAGTAACAGATGCAGAAAATGCATTGACATGTTTATCTTGGCAATAATAGTACCATTGTTTAAGACAAGTATTATACTGTTTTAAGGTATTGTTTGTAAGTGATGCCAGCATCACGTCAATAGCTTCCGGTGGTGTACCCTGCCTTAACATGGCCTCCCTGATAAAACGCCGGCAACCAGGGTAAGGCTCCGGTGTAACTTGTGTTCCACACTGTAAGGAGATGATAATAAGTGTAAATTTGGAGAAAATTCTTTGGGCTCGTACACCAGCATGCTCTTAAATAAGGGATACCAAGGTTGGGTGGGCCAAAGTGGAACCACCACAATTCCCTTCGCTTTATCGTGGATAATCTTCTGCAAAACCTTGACGACTAAGCAAAACGGGGGAAATGCGTAGAAATAGAACGGGGACCAGGATAATGTAAAAGCGTCTACCGCGTAAGCTTCTGGGTCCCGATGCCATGAAACAAACCTCTGACATTTGTTATTAAGGCGACTGGCAAACAAGTCTATATCCGGCCTACCAAAAGTCCTACAAATGAGCTTATACGCGGAATCCGCAATCTCCCATTCAACATCAGCATGAATTCGGCGTGATTCGTAGTCTGCAATATAATTGTCACGTGAACTTATGTAAGACGCAAACACAAATAAGCCCCTTTCTTCACACCACTGCCAAATTTTCCTGCTAATGTTATTCAGATGAGGGTATTGAATACCTCCCATTCTATTTATATAGGATATGGCTGTGGAGTTATCAACACGTAACAAAACTTCGCAATTTTTGAGATGTTTTGCGAATACTTTTAAAGCGAAGAAAGCAGCAGTGAGTTCTAGATAGTTAATGTGATGATTTAGTTCATCGAGAGTCCATTGACCACTAGCTCTTTGACCAGAACAAGTAGCTCCCCAACCGGTACGAGAGGCATCCGAGAAAATTTCTATTTTGTAATCACTAACCCGAATAGGACTTGTACATGTGTCTATATTACGTAACCACCATTTGAAGTCTTCAGATAAAGAATCAGGTAAGTGAACAACTTGATCGTAGTCTTCATTCTTTTGTAGGCAAAGGAACTTTGTTCTTTCGAAACTTTTGATGTACAGCCAACCGTACTGAACTGCTGGACACACAGATACTAGTAAACCTATGAGATGTGCAAAAGAACGAAGTCTACATCTCTGCAAGCCTTGGAAATGGTTAAGTTCTGCTTTTATTTTCTTTCGTTTATCAACCGGTATATTGATAGTTTGATTAATAGAATTAAATTGAAAACCCAGGAAAGTTGCAATTCTACTGGGCGTGCTTACGCTTTTTTCAGTATTAATAGTAAAACCTAACCATTCCAACAGGCATTTTGTGGTGTTAAAGTTTTTCTTACAGCCAGAATAATAATTATGCAGTAAAAGAAGGTCATCTAGATATATAACAGATAGTAAGCCTTCGATACTACGTAGGTACTGCATGACAGGACGCATCAATTTTGTAAAAATATATGGTGCGATGTTAAGACCAAATGGAAGTACTTGAAACTCGTAATATTTTCCTAACCATTGAAAACGTAGGTACTTTCGGTAAGCTTCGTGGATGGAAATGGAAAAGTACGCGTCTTTGAGGTCGATAGAACACATGTAAGTATTCTTATTGATGAGCTTCATTGCAGTCCTATAGTCCTCCAGTTTAAAATGTGGAGCATGTATGTAACGATTCAAATTTTTAAGATTAAGTATGAATCTATTTTGGCCATTACTTTTTGCGACGAGAAAAATGCTTGACAGAAACTGACCCTCGCATGGTGTACATTCCTTAACGGCGCCTATTTTAATTAAATTATTAATTTCAGATGTCATATTTAACCTATGTTCATCGTTCTCCGGCTTATTTTGAGGTATATTGTTTACCTGTGTAATCTCATTTGAGATTGGTAAGCGCAAGCCAGAAACCCACGATAAAACAACAGGATCATTAGTAATCTGAGACCAATTATTATAAAAGTATTTCAATCTACCAGCCTGTGAAGGTTCCGGAGCAGCGTGCATGTTGTCAGTTAGCGGCGGTCGCGATACGAATTCTTGTTGTCGGAGCGAGCATTCCGCTTGTCGCTCGGCCGCCGTGCTGTCTGCTGCTGCTGCCTGCGCCCACCAGCCGTCGAGCTCTGCCTCGCTGCTGCGCGGCGAGGGGGAGGTGGTGGCGGTGGCGGGCCCCTCCAGTTTAAAGATCTCGTAGCTGGTTCACCTGGTCGCTGGTTAGATTTAGGAGCCGGTTTTGGCTTTGAAGTGACAGGTCGTAATTCTGCACCTGCTTTAGAAATGGCCTTAATGCTCTTCAACGTATCTTGCAGGCCATCACCAAACAACATATGATCATGCTTGGCCTCTTTGATGTTGTCTTTTACATCCTTGTTAAGGCAAGCCAACAAGAATCTTTTGCGTGTCATTGTTTCTAAATAGTGTATATGACAAAGTAATTTTCCTGTGTTACTAAGAGACTGTAATAAGTCCTTACTGTAGCTGGAAGATTTCAAATCCGTCAGAACAGATGTCAATATATTGGCGATATGAGTAATAGTGCAAGATAATAGATCTTGCTTCTCGGATATAATGCAATCCCTCTTGATAACATTTTCGTTAACTGCTGCCTTAATCTCGGGGTTGAGCTTTGGAGCGCGAACTTGTTTTAAGTTATCAGGTGTTTTATGTACCTTCAAGATTTCCTTTTTGGACTCATCCTTAAGTCCATTCATCAGGATTTCAGTCCAGCGGCTGGCGATGTCCTTGTGAATGTTGGGGCCAAATACGTCTTCTTGTTCAGGCGCATCGCCTAATAAGCATAGTACCTCTGGAGCGAGTTCTACCGATGTACTTGCCTCTGGATCTAACTCAACTACTTCAGGCTCCCTTGACTCGTCCGTAGAAATAATTTCAGGCGGGGCTTCTGAAAAAACAACAGGTTTGTTGCAAAGGAAATTAAGATGTAGGAGGTGGGTAGTTGTAACTGCGTTCAAAAAACGCCCTCAATATTGGCAGGTAAAAGGTAAACGATTGACCTTACAGACCAATCTGATATACCAACGTATTCCAAAAAATTAATAAAGGTACAATCTCACGGATTGGACTCATTATTAGTATGTGCTCCCTCTATACAGCGATCTACCTTACAGATAGAACTGAAGTATACTATGGGTAGATATATCCTTGCAGAATATATTCATTGCACTATTTAAAAATAGAACACCGGAGAAATGCGCTCGAGAAAGTAGGTCAAGGTCACGGGGACGACGTGCGTACGTGACCGAGCGCGAAAATAATCATAACACTGCATTTTAGCACCAAATATAAATCCAAATTAATACCTCCAATATTTGAAGCCTCCAGCAACACTGAATGGTCATCCAACTCAGGAATTTGGTATGAATTCCGAGAATGAGGTGAGGAATTTTCACTTGAACTGTAAGATTTACGTCGTCTACGGCGCACTTTGGCCATTTTCCTTTCAAGTTTTCTTATTTTATAAGCCAAATGATCTTCTTCACTGTCGTGGTGACGTCTTTTACCCATATTTATCACTTTTATTCGAAGATTCAAATAAACGAATAAAATATGTGTGCGATGGCGGCGACACAAAACGTGTATATGAAGGCCAGCGCAGGAGCGGGGTTCGCAGGCAGTTTTTTGTTTTAGTTTACTTTGAACGTGTGTAGATGGCAGCACCAACTCGTGCTACTACAAGTAAATATAATGTAATTTCGAAGGGCGAATCACAGAGTTTAATNGTGAAGCTCGCTGATCATCCATCAGTTTCCATCAGGTCAGATGAAGGGCAAGAGCTTCCTCGTTGTGGATAAAAAAATGTTCTGTTCAGTTATTGTCTCTAAATGTGTTCTACGTAACGTAAACTTAGGGGATTGTAAACATTAGTTAGTCCTAAGAAAGTCAAAAACATGTAACGGAATTTCCGACTTACCACTTTAGTAGAGCGATTACAGAAAAAAATGGCCTATTAAGTACATGTTTTTTTGTGTTATTATGAAAGTTCAGAAAACTGCGCAGTTTTTAAAATTATTTTGGACCTATGGAAGTTCTTTTTTTTTTTTCAAATTTTTAAGTTGAAAATTTTAGAATGTTTTGCTAAAAGCATATTTTTTATGTTTCTAGCAAAAATTTTGTATCTTGCATCAAGGATAGGAAGGTGATTATTTTTTTCAAACATCTGCAATTAATAGGGAAACTGTAAAAAAAAAAGAAATCTGAGAAAAGTCAACCCAAAAAAATGATAAAAAAATTTAAAGCCTACTTGGTCATAAAATTTGAAAAAATCACAAAATTAACGATAACTTCTAAACTACGAAAAATCGTAGAACATATATGGGGGTGAAATCGATAGGTCTAGCCCTCACCTATTACCTGCTTTCGGCTTGACAACTTACAAGAAACACCCTGTATAACTTTAATAGAGGCTAACTACTAAGACCATAATATCATTTTAGAAACAGCACCAAGTTTTCGTATTCAGCACCCAGTTGTAAAAAAGATACACTAAATCAAGGTGTTACGAATCGAATCGGAGGTATCAAGTTGCCGATCCATCTAACCTTTTACCCCTTTAATCTATAAAAGCCTCAAATGTCGACACCAACCACATTCCCAGAGGCGTGTACCGGCTCTTTAATAGCTTATTTTACTACCTTTTTATGGCTAGAAGCAATAAAACGAATCATCGACTCACGTCATCGTATCGCATGAAAATCCGAGCAATAAATTTTTGGACACTGCTTATTAAATAAGGAAAGTAATGCCTTTTGAACGGCGCGGTATTATTATTGTGAGACGAGATTACGTATGCTTTTGTTAGATTTAATAAAAGTCTGATGCGAAATTATGGCATAGAAAGAGGGTCGCGTTTAATATAAAACTCTTTGGACTTGACTTTAAGTGGCGCTACTTGTGGTCGTCGACGGCCTGAAGTGCTCGGAAACGGTTGTGTAACATTCTGAAAGTTCTTATTCTGCATACTGTTTAGAAGAAATTAGTTGAAAACTGCTTTTTACAACAAAATAGCAATTAAGATGCAAATAGTTTTATCTTTCTGTTAGCACCACTAAGATGCTAAAATAATTTGATAAAATTAGTAGTTATTGTAGTGCCTGAATAAAAGCTAATGAGATGAGATCCTAATGAATTATCTACGTTTTGTTATTTTACTATTTTGTTGTAAACAGCAATTATTAAGTAACTAACATCTTCCAAGAAATGAAAGGACTTTCTCAAACAAGCCTGGCATTTAAATGGCTCTAAAAATGTTGTTTTATTCAAAAATATTTTTTGCAAATAAAAAAAATGGAATAGAATTTAGTGCTTGTTTGGCGTCAAGACATCGTAAACGGAAAATATCACCATCGGCTCATTTTCCAAGTTTGAGCTACCTCTCTTTTTATTGGGTCGAGTTTCAGATATCCTGTTACGACAAAATGGCCGACTGACAGTTTCATTTCCTATTAATATTTTCCTTTGATAGAAGGGTGGTAGGATAAATTGCGTTCTGAGAAAAAAATATGTCCAATGTTGTTAGTGGTTTGATAGACGATTTCTTCGAAATGATTGAATGTTATCTTTCCCTTAAAGTAAACTCAAATGACAAAATTGAGTAGTCAATTTCTGCTTTTCGAAATAACGCATTTTCTCCAAACTAGAGAGAGTAGAGTTTTTTACTTCCAAATAAACTATGGTCTTAAATAAAAGATTTTATTGTTTTAAATCTTGCTGGAAGAAAGATTAGACTTATTAATACCACATTGTGTACCTATGTTGAACTCAAATGTACTTAGTTTACTGATGTTCAAAACAGTCATTGGAGAAAGAAACAGGTTTTTATGGTTACAACTATTTATTCCACTGAAGACAGTCACCAATTAAGTCCAAAAATAATTTCCACAAAACTAAAACGCAGTAACAGTTAGTGCAAGGAACCGGAAATTAAGCAAAAAGCTCGCAGCGAGTTCATTTGCAGTATAAATCCGCACGTTTGATTTCAATCGCGAAATGCAGTTAGGGCGGGCGGCGCACTTAATGAACTGTAATTTTACGGGCGGCCGCACGCGAAACGCTGCGATAGCTTGCGAATGGGCGGAATGAAATACTTAGTAGCTTACTTTTAGTTTTCATAAGCTTTTAGGTAATATTTAGGCTTTTGGGGTTATAATTTTGGTAATTTTACAGGCTGTTTTTTATGGGCGACCGCACGTTGAACGAATGGGGCGGAATGAAATACTTAGGCTGAGTTTCACCACAAGTTTAACCGTAACTATCAGATTAACCGGTGATTTTTGTATGTTGTTTGACAGATTTTTGGCGTTTGTCAAAGTTAAAATAAGATGGTGCAACTCAGCCTTTTAAGCTTTTGGGTAATTTTTACAGACTTCTATAATTAAATTCTATATTATTACAGTCTCGTTGTTTCTACTTATTAGAGTTTGATTCATTTTAGAGTCGCTTTGTTAATTTACCTATGATAATCTTTACCGAGCAAAGTGCACAATTACGTGCAATAAGTAACAAATCATTAACCACTTCCAAGTCGACGAACGACTTATTTTTCTGTCACGGTGCGTTGAAAGTGTCATCATGGCACAATATAAGCATAATTTACTTACATTCTTAGCTCCAAACTTCTTTACCCAAAGGCAAATTTCGTAAAAAACGTTTTGCCCGGACTCTTCATTTGGTTTGGTTTAATTTGGTCTAGAATTTAAGCTACATCCAGTTATGACAACAGCGTCCTAACACCTAGTGCCTCTGCGTTGCCAAGATAAGGTTAGTTCATTCCACTTGGCTTACTGAGTGGACAAGCCTCATACCACAGACACAAATTGACTGTAGTTTGGTAGAATTTAGTTTAGAACTTTAGATATTAAACAAAGTAAAATTCATGAATAAAATCAAGTTTAATACAATGCAAGAATGCACTAAGTATATAATGATTATAAGAAATGACAGATATCAACCTCAGATATCTTGATCCGAGCTTCATTATTTTGCATTACACCAAGTACTTATTATTATTCTGTGATTACACTGTTATTTTATAGGTAATTTATTTGTTTATTCGATAAGATGTAGACATATTTATTTTCATAAGGTAAGTAGACGCGGACGCGACGACCTCATAAAAGTAGAAGGAAAGGCGCTGGATGCAGGCCGCTACCAACAATATGGAAATCACTGGGAGAGGTCTATATGTTCAGAACAGTGGACGTCCAGTGGCTGAAATGATAAGTCATATTTTTTTAAAGATATAAATTTGGCGCGATATAATGCGTCAAAAAATATTGGATAATTTTTCAATTTACTTTATCACGCTATAAAAACCAAACCATATCATATTTGGCAAGCAAAATAAATGTCCAGCAGCGATCCGAAACATTTTTCTCGAGTAAGGTCACATTCTGCGTTCGGGCATCTAGGACTGCAGACTGAAATGCTTGCGGAGTTTTAAGCAGTTTACTGAGAAATACCCGAATAGTTAAAATGCTCAAGTCATAACTTCATTTTCTTATTGTGAATATGGTTTTGCAGCATTTTGTTTGTTGGCGACTTGAGACAAAATCGCGTCCAAAGAACTGAACTTTTTAACTTGGCTGGACTGGGAAGATAGAATTTGGGTAGGTATTCAAGTATTTTAATATACTTTATGAAGGTGGAAGGAAGGATGTGATGGTGGTGAATGCAATCAAAATAAAATCCTTTTCAAATGCATTTAAAATCAATATTAGTCAAATTAATATTCAGTCCTTATAATTAATTAAAACTTGGAAGATAGATGTGCGCCGTTTTGACTGGTGACTGCTTAACTTCAATGTGTAATTTAACCGTGATAAAAACAAAATGAGATAGCTATTTAGCAAAAGCTGTGTCATAACACGAATTTGGTGTTTATGACTAAGGAATTAAGATAAGATTCCCAGTACTCCAAAATACATCATCCCATGACAGCGTGTCACGTGTCGCAGATTCAATAATGAAAGTATTACGTTATGCCCTCATGAGATACGCGCGTATACGTCATTAGTCTTGTAATGTTATTACTGTTTTTTGTGATAAAAGCAGCGAATTACGTACCTTTGTGTATTGAAATGACGTTTAAACGTTGGATCTGTGTTCCATAATATTTTGGGGAACTCTTCTTTTTGTGTTATGAGTGAATTCGAAACTCCGTGTCGCATTAGAAATTCACACACACAAAGAAAATAAGATATATAGATATATGTGCTCATTATCCACTGCAGTATCAGTATTCAACGTTCGTATAACGAATAAACTGTTTACATTATGACGTCGCTACTGTCATTATTGCTTTCACGAGCATTGTGTTCTGTTTTTGGGCATATTGCTGCGACACCGGCTCCGCCCCCTTGTGACATCTCCCTTTAGTTTCTGTGATCATGGCCAATAATATCAATTAATTATTAAGCTCATAATTAAGTAGGTATGCCTCGTACGAATGCAATTACATACCGGGATTAACAGAGAGAATTATAACAATATATTCTCATTCGTGTACAATTTACAACATTATTCATTGCTAATAGAGAATATCGTAGATATCATCGAGTAAACTGCTAATAGATCCAAGAAATGGCTTGTTTCAAAGCCATTTCTTACTGAAGCAGTACCTAATGACGTTAATTTTGAAAATGTTACGTCAAATAAGTGTAAAAAGGTCTGTTTGAGTGACTATTATAGTATAG